GTATAATTGCATGTGGATTAAAAGTTGCTCCTGCTAAACCTCGGCCAAAAGGACTCTCTGCATTTGTTAGGAGATAATAATTACCAGTCCTAAAAGCATTAAAATGATCTAGATCAAAAGAATGTTAATATAAACAATTACAACCAAAAAATAAATAAACAAATAATAACAAACATATAACAAAACAAATAATATAATATAAACAAATATAAACAAAAAAAAACTAATTTTAAGATTTCTCTTTTATAATATTCATTTCATATTAAACAAGAAGAATGAAAATTTGTATGTTGAAAAATTTAAATAAAAATTAATAAAAATTATACTAACGCATTACTGGGTGTAGCATATCCCATTGGAATATATTCAACGTCGCCGCATTCATTTAAAGAATAACACTTTGCAATTAAAGAGGTATGGTTTTTAACCGATTCTGCATAAAACTCGAAAGATCTATTATGAGTACAAAGATCTATAACATGAAACGTAAACGAAAAATAATAAAAAAGAAAATAAGAAAGAAGAAAAAAGGAAAATTCTTAATTTGACAATTTTCATTTTGCTTAATGTAGCAATAGAATATCGTTTCTTACGCCATTTTAAAGATAAATGGTAAAAAATATTTTCAGAATAATAATAAGAAAAAAGAGTTTTCATACATAATTAATTCACAATATATATTAATAATCTTCACATATATCTTCACAATGAATATATATATATATATATAAAATAAGTGACAAGAAAGAAGATATGTAAATATCATTATAACAAAAAATATCTGAAAACAAAGTTACTTGAAATATAAAAATAAAAATTTTTAGAATCATTTTTTTTTTTCAAAAACAGATTTCAAGATCATCAATGTTTTCTTTAAATATTATATGTATATACGTATGTATATACGAGTTTGAATTGATATTAAATTGTTTACTAAAATTTTAAATTTTAATTTTTTCATTTGAAAAATTAAAAAAATTAATATCCAAAAGTTTTGTACGAACCTTTTTGTGACAGAAATGGAGCGATTACCGCACAGCCGGATTGCGGTCTATGGCCATAATTAGGAAAGAAATCCACATTACCAGTTTTCAATGCTAAACCATAGATACCCATATCAGTGTGTATAATATCTACGAACTTAGCATCGGAAGATATCAAATGAGAATCCGGAAAATAAAACAAAGGACCAGCAGGATCTAAACCTATAAAAAAAATTTTATTTATAATAAATAAAATTTATTTAATAAATTTAATAAAATTCAAAAAATATTTTAACTTAATAACTTAAATTTTATACCATCAATAAAACTGTAATGTATTATTTATCAAATAAAGATCACTTTTTATTAAATTATTAAATATATAGCTTTTTCAAGAAAGTCACTAGATAGCCATTAAACTTAATGGACATTAAAAATATAAAGATTCATTATAAAGAATACCTGTT